ATTTTCTCCATAGTAAATTCTACATACATGCGCACAAGCTTTTCAGACGCTGAAGACAAACTCCTGGTTCAGGTCGCTTTTCAGTTCGAGAGAGAGGGCCTTCGTATCACCTGGGAGTATGTGGCCCGGCGGATGAAGATCACGCGCGCTGCACGACAGCTTCGCCTCCGGCTTGCCAGCCTAAAGCGAACTTATGGAAAGTCGTTACGCAACTTCCCACCTTGTTGTTTTAGTGGGGCAACTTTGCAACGCCTTCTTCGCGCGCCTGGGCTCCCCCTTCCACCATTCTGTGATTTGCAGAGGCCAGAAGATGGCGGAGGTGCGATAGGACAGCGCGGACAGCATGCCAGGGAAAAGTGAGGGAGGCCGGACAGCCCCACGAGTTCCAAGAGCAGCAGGTACGCTGTAGACAACAGCACTTGTTACTGCGGTGCAGGTGCTAACGTTTACTTTGATCGTGCAGCAGGCGCAGATAACTGTTGTTCCCGAGAAGCGCGCGAGGGGTGTATGTATAAGCCGCGGGGAGGACGGTTGAGTTCGAAGTTTGATGCAGCTGCAAAAAAAGCTCAGGTACGTCAAGCGGCTGAGTGTGGAAGCGAGATTGAGTTGCTTACGTATGTCAATGCGTTGCAGCTTCGCACATGGGTGCAGTGGCGGAAGCAGACGGCGTGCCTTGCCCCACCATACAAGATGATTCTCATGGTGGAGTACGACGTTAAGGTGATGCTAGCGTTGATGGTAAAGGTGCTGCTGTACGCTTCCACATCTCGCCTACACTAAGCCAGGAACAAGCTGCCGAAGCAGTTGATGCCATATTCAGCAGTATTAGCGCGTACGACGTCCGTCAGCAAGCCGGTCGTACATACGACAATGCAGGCGAGGTGCTTCCTTCAGGCGTCGCCTTGCTACTTGCGACAGTAGGACCTCTGGACGAAGAAGATGTTTTTCTGGACGTTGGAGCTGGAGTTGGCAACATCCTCGCCCAAGTCGCTCTTACAACGGACGCTCGACTTTGCGTTGGTATCGAATTTCGACGCGTCCTTGTCTCGCTCGGTCAGCGCTGTTTGCACCAGCAGCTCAAGATTCAGCCGCGACTGGATAAGGTAATGCTCAAGTTGCTAGATGTTAGAGATGTTTCTATGTCGAGGCATTCTCCCATTTGCGAAGCCACCATTGTCTTTGCTAACATCTTTCTATTTGACGAAGATGCTAAGTTGATCGTTTCACGAGAGCTCAGCGCAATGCCATGATAGTTTCAACGTCGCTCTTCTGCCCTAGACATCGATCATCGTGCTCGGAGCCGTACTGCAAGAGTTGGAAACTGGATCATCAACTAGAAGTACAATGTAGCTGGAAGGCTACACCTCATGCCATTGACATATACCGTAAGAAACTTTGATCCATTCTGCTATCTCATACTTGCTTCTAATCAGAGTCTTCGCGCTGCTCATGAGTGCCGTTACCAAGAGCGAATGCAGCTTCGCAACCCAAACTGCATGCGGCAGCAGCAACCCGGCTGGGTGCAGTATCATCACGCCCGAGTGTAACAGTAGCCCATACGTCATGCGAGTCACCGGTGATTCCGTGACCACCGCCGAGTGCATGAGCGTCGCCGTCACTGACTATGCCAGCCGCACCACTAAGTCCGCGGCCGCCATCACCAAGTCTGCGATCATCACCACCTCCATGTCCTCGCGCGTCGTTGCTGACAAGTTGGCGAACGCTGCGGCTACCAACTGTATGTGCTGCACCACCAGGTCCAGCTACATCACCAAGCTCGCGCCCATCTTCGCTATCTGTGCAAGCAGCTTCATTTAAAGCCCGACTGCCACCGACTCCGCGAGGTCCACCAAGGCTGCGTGCGCCGCCGACACCGGCTGCGCCAGCGGCACCACCAAGTCCGAGCCCCCCCCCCCTCCCCGTCTCCAAGTCTGCGCGCGTCGTCACGGCCAAGTCCGCGCTCGTCGTCGTTGGCAAGTCTGCGAGCGCCGCCGCCACCATCAAGTCCGTGTGTGTTGTCACCGTCTGTGAGAACGGCACCACGGCCACGTAGCCGGGCTTCACCACGACGTTCACTAGTGCATCAAATTTCGCGAACATCACGACAGACACCACTAAGTTTGCTTGCTACCACACTTCCAGGCCTATTGTCCAAACGACTGTCACCGTCTGGTCCAGGCGCAACTAGCCCAGTCGAAAGATTGCCACTGCCAAACGCAACCAACCTAGGCGGAGCATTACCGCCAACCCCGAAAGCAGC